CTCTTCGGCTGTCTGTCAGGAGGCACTCCACCTGTGGGATTTCTGCATCAGCCATGAAATCCACCTGGAAGCTTGTCACCTTCCCAGCATCAGGAATATGCTGGCAGACCAGCTCAGCAGGGACTTCTCCTCTCACAACGAGTGGTTGCTCCATCCAGAGGTAGCCTGCATGATCTTCCAAAGGTGGGGAACTCCCCAAGTAGACCTGTTCGCTACCAGACAGAACAGGAAATGCCACCGGTTTTGTTCTCGACAGGGTCTGAGCAAGGACTCCCTCTCCAATGCCTTCCTCCTGTCACGTTTCCTCCGATTCCACTCATCTGCAGTGCCCTGGCAAAGATCAAGAGAGATGAGGCACAGGTTACCATGATTGCCCCAGCGTGGCCTCGCCATCATTGGTTCGACATACTCATGAGCCTGTCAGCGGCACCTCCCTGGTCCCTTGCCTAGCCGACCAGACCTGCTGTCACAGGACCTCGGTCGGCTCTTACACCCCAACCACGGGTTCCTCCACCTCTCGGCATAGATGCTGCGTGGCTGAACCCGGAGGAGTGGACCTGTTCGGAAGGAGTCCAATAGGTCCTCCTGGAAAGTAGGAAGGCCTCAATTAGACTGACTTACCTGGCCAAGTGGACGAGGTTTTCCTGCTGGGCATCCAAACGGGGGGTGTCTCCCCCATTCCTCCATACAGGCTGTCCTGGGCTACCTGCTCCATTTGAGGAACCAGGGCCTGGCACACTCTTCCATTAGAGTGCATCTTGCGGCGATTTCTGCTTTTCACCCGCCGATCCAAGGACAGACAGTGTTCTCCCATGACATGACGGTCAGATTCTTGAGAGGGCTGGAGAGACTCTTCCCACAGGTGCGGGCTCCTGTCCTGCAGTGGGATCTTAACTTGGCCCTTCCTAGGCTCACTGGCTCACCCTTTGAACAGCTGGGTTCCTGCTCCCTTTCCCATTTGTCATGGAAGGTCTCAATCCTGGTGGCGGTGACATCGGTGAGACCGGTCTTGGAAATTAAAGGCTTGATCTCAGAACTGCCGTACACGGTCTTCTACAAAGATAAGGTTCAGTTGCAGCCCCACCCGGCCTTCCTGGCAAACGTGGTCTCCGCCTTCCATATGAACCAGGACATCTTCCTCCCGGGGTTCTGTCCCAAAGCACCCATTAAAGAGAGGCATCTTCATGCCCTGGATGTCCGGAGGGCTTTGGCTTTTTACTTAGAATGTACCAAGACTTTCCATAAATCGACTCAACTTTTCATCTGTACAGCGGATAGGATGAAGGGTCACCCGGTGTCCTCGCAGAGGATTTTGAATTGGATTACCTCATGCATAAGGACCTGCTATGACCTGGCAGGGATTCCGCCGCCGCCGATCGTTAGAGCCCACTCGACGAGAGTGCAGGCGTCTTCGACAGCCTTCCTGGTGCACATCCCTATCCTGGACATCTATAGAACTGCGATGTGATCCTCCGTCCACACGTTTACTGTTCATTACGCCATCACTTAGCAGGCCGGGGTGACACTGGGTTCCGCAGAGCTGTGTTGCAATCTACACGTCGGTGAACTCCTACCCATCTCCAGGGGTCTTGCTTTGGAGTCACCTAATATGGAATGGATATGAGCAAGTACTCAAACAAGAAAACAGTTACCTTTTCTGTAACCGCTGTTCTTTGAGATGTTCGTTCCACAACCCGCCTTCCTTCCCCACTGTTGGAGTTTCTGGCAAGAAGGAACTGAGGGTGGGGGAGCTGGCGGCGCCCCTTATATCGTGCCATGTGGGTGCCACTCCAGAGGGCGCCAGAGCTGGTCCCCTATGGATACTGCTAAGGGAAAAACTTACAGCACCAGTACATGTGGCGAGCGCACACACCTAACATGGAGTGGACATGAGCAACACATCTCAGAGAACACCGGTTACGGAAAAGGTAACTGTCTTTTTAAATCACAATCCTCTTTAATAGATAGTTACCAAGATGGCTCCTATAGACTCTGAGGATGCATTGCAGACCTCTGTGTGCTTGCATCATGTGAGAGACCCCTTATGTGGGGAGGCCCTCCAGTGATTATGCATGATTAATTTTCAAGAGACAGTACCACAGTATACTACAGGAGAGGACAGGGCATATATACCTTCCCCAGAAAAGTGTCCAGGGGCCAATGGCTTATCTGAGCTCCTCTGGGCAGTTCACCAGCTCAGGTGATGCTTCCCCCCTCCCAACTCAAGGGGAGGGCCCTTAATGGAGCTAAGATTCCTTTCTTCCTGCTGCCTAGGCAAAGACCCCATATGTATGAACTAGTGGGGAGTGCAATCTCACAAAAATTTGAATGCCAAAACTGAGCATACTCAAGCATATTCTATGTGGAAGAGATCATCCTATCAGAATCTGAACTTGCCAGCTCAGTGGAGGAAACTCAGAACAACACACAGTCGTGTCCTTTATAAAAAATGCATTAGGCTTAAAGCAGCCAACCAGTCTACCAGTAAAAATTTGAAGCTGGACAAATTCAGACTAGAAATAAGGTCCACATTTTAACAGTGGGGAGAATTAATCATTGGAACAACTTACTACAGGTTGTGGTAAATTCACTATCACTGGACATTTTTAAATCAAGACAGGATGTTTTTCTAAAAGAGCTGCTTTACTGCAAGCACAGCTACTGGACACGAAGCAGAAATTATTACAGGGAAATCATATACCCTTTGTTATGCAGGGGATCAGACTAAAATCAGATGATCACAATGGTCTCTTCTGGCCTAAATAATCTATGAATATATAAGGGAGAGAGAATGAATTGTAATTGTGTAGGGGCTGGTTGTGACTCTGTAGTAAAGGTTGAGTGATCTTTTGCGCTTAAAGCAGGGATTCATTATCTTTATTATGCATGGAAAATGTAGCATATCCTCCCTAAACTTACAACAGTTACTCTGAGTACAGAATGAATTTTCTAAGAATTGAAAAGCAAAGCTGTTAATTAGTTTGTTAAAAACTAATTAAAAACTGCATCCTTTAAGAAATTTAGAATCTGCGTGTCTTTTTGTCATCCCAGATTTTCTTAACAGACTAACATAGGCTCTTCAAACTTTCCACAGAGTTAAAGTTAATTGAAATTTTGTGCTTAGGCTATATTTGATTAAAGTAGGTTGTAATTAAGCTAATTTATTAACTATCTAATAGTTCCTGACCTGACCCTAACTGTATTATAACAATCTTGTATGCAACAATTGTATTAGTTGTAATGAGTCAGCCCTATGAGGAAGACTGGACATATTTGTGCACAGTAAAAGGCAACCAAACAACTTTGACTCTGTCCTGTAGTGAACACCATGATGGGGTTAAAATATATGAAAAATGTCTTTTAAAAATCAGTTTAATGCAATCTGGGACCACAAAAACTAATGTGTTTTCATAATTGTATTGCTGTCATGGCATTGCTATCAGGAAGAGTGAAGTTTGTTTGGTTGCCTGAACTGTGTATTTCCATACCTTAATATGTTTGGATTTCTTTTCTTTGGGTTTTAATGCTTGCATTTGGGATAATTAATCCCCGTAATGTATTTTCCCTTTTAAGTTACTGATATGTAGTCTCAACCTTAAGTGCATTTTAACATAGTTTTTTGTCTTGGCACGTAGCTTGTGAGCCTTGATGAGTGACAGGATAATTGAGCTGTTGATAATGATAGAGACAGAAGAGAGTTTGGATGAGAGGAAATAGAGGTTTTCACTGAGTTAAAACTTTAGTTGGTAGTTGACAGAATTGCATATGTGGGACTGAGCAGTTGAGATTCCCAAGGAATAAGTTGTAGAAGGAGAAGAGAGGACCAAGGACAAAATCCATTGGGACACTGATGAAAAGCGGGCAAGGGCAGAAGACGGAAGAGCTCCTGACGAAGTTGTGGAAAGTAGAACAGTAAGCTGAATATTAAAAACGAGAAAGCCCAAAGAGGGAGCAAATGGCAATTGAAAGCACAGGGATGAATGTAAGATGAAGATAGAAATGACTAAAAAGCACTGTCATTTGTATTCTTATGGTAAGTCTTAAGAGGATTGTACCGGGGGGAGGAGAAGTCAAGGCAAAGGAAAAAACACCATTGTCAAAGCACCTGGATTTAAAGGGGAGGAGGAAAAGGGATGGTAGATGGAGTGGCAGATGGGGGTAAAAGAGGCTTTTTTAGGATAGGATAATTCAGTCATTTTAGAAAGCAAAGGGGAAAAGAAATTAGATGAGATGTGTAGGGGACAGGATGATACAGGGAGTCAGAGAAATCAGAATTGGGAGGAGATAATGTCACAGGACATAGCGCATTGAGGGGTTAGTAGATGCTCATCACTTTTGAAAATCAGGTCACTTCTGTTTAGGTGTCTGAATATGGATTAGGAACCTAATTTTAGGCACCTAATTGTTGACCTACATATATGATATGTTACATATTATGTAACATAAAGGAAGAATGATCTTGTGATTGTGGCATTGAACAGTGACTCAGGATATTTGGGTTCAGTTCCTAGTGGTTACTTATGGACATATTTTTAGAGGAATGTAGGCACCTAATGGGATTTTCAAAGCACTAAGGTGCCTGACTCCCAAAATGGAAGTTAGCTGCCTAGGTTCTTTTGAAATTACCTGTAGGCATCTATCTGCATTTTTAGGTACCTAAATTCTTGAAAAAAATCTGGCCCTTAATGTCTTTGTGCGACATTTCTCTCTTTGTAAAGTGAAGATGATATTTTCTACCTCCCAGCAGTTTTATGAGAATAACTGCTGTTTTTGAGACAGAGATTTAATATTGCCTAAATACCTAGATTAATGTGTGTAGATGTATTTAATCTATTTTCCCTGATACATCAGCTAATAATTATCTAAAAGAAAGGAAAATATTTTGCTTTGTGCTTCAAAAGTTATATTGCTTGTAAAGATTTAATGGGGGTTGTGCCCAAAATTCCCTTTGTCCCAGAGAGTTTTATACTATTTTGTCCTTATTTATTCTTTCTTTTCAGTTTTCGCACTAGCAAAGGAGTTGGGTACTCTGCTCATTTCGTTGGCAACTGCTTAATAGTTACGTCGTTGAAATCAAAAGGAAAAGGTTTTCAGCATTGTGTGAAGTATGATTTTCAGCCACGCAAGGTAAGCAAAATAGTGTTCACAATGAAGAATGATTATGAAAGTGTGATCAAGTACCTCTGTGAGGAAATAGACTCCCTTCTGTCACAGTAAAAGTGATCATTTCTCACTTCTTATTTATAACTAGTTTCTATGACTCTCTGTCACATGAATTATATGTCAGAGTTAGAACAGGGCATCAGCAAAAGAAACCATGAGAGGTATATAGTAATGGTTTATGAAGAAATACATACCCATATGTAGGGCTAACTCTTTTTATTTTTGTTTTTGTTTTTGTTTATTTTATTTGCCATGGCGCCTAGGCATCCTAATCATGGACCAGGACTCATTGTGCTAGGTGCTGTACAAACACAGAATGAAAAGACCGTCCCTGCCCGAGTGCTTAAATACTGTTGAAACAATTAGAATTTCAGACAGAGAAGGATTGTCAGGGTATTTTTATAATCCTGATGAACTGCTTTAGTTTTGTTTTTAAAAGCTATATATGTTTCTGTTCAGTAAGCTTCAACATTCTTCTAAATATTTGGCCCTTCGTTTTCAAAGAATCTATTATTAAACTGTACATTGATGAGAGCTGAAGTAAAATATCCAGCTAACCATACTGACAGTTGCCTCACCCAATTTTGAAATGGAATGTTGAGTAATGAAATGAAACGCAGTGGCTGATGTATGCATTTCTAAGGTTCCTGGAAATTAAATTAATACTATGCAACACATAGGGATGTACAGTATGGATGAAGTTTAATCTCACTTGGAATCTCTGGAATTGAGGTTTGCTACATATTTAAATACTGCTTGAGCTGTTATAATAAGGAAATTTTGGTGATGGGCAAATTCTTCATCTGTTTTTTAAGAAATATTTGAGATGTAGTTGGATTTTCAAACAACTCTGCCCTCTATTTAGCGAGTTCTTAGTAACTCGTGCAAAGGTGTGACACACTTGGTCATCTGCATCTCCAGAGGTCTGATCTCATGATACAGCTTTCATACAGTAAATTTTGGAAAGTTGACCTGTGGAAAGATGCTGGGGAAAAAAAATTAGCCGCCCCGTCCAGTAGTAATATTTTGCAGTTTTGTCCTCTTTCTTTATTGCTCTGGAGCCTAGCTTTTTGTTTTGAATTTGTCAACATTTTAATATAACTAACAAATATGTTTTTATTACCTAGGTCATTTAATTTCAGAATAAAAATACTGAAATTTATTTACTGAGTTTATTTTGCATTTGGGGATTTTGGGGATATTAGTGCCTGTAATGAGTCTGCCTGCAGTGATGCAGATTTTTGTTGCCTTATCTGTTCCATGGAGAAACAAGCTTTCACCTTTCTCCTGTATCAGTAGAGATTTGGGATGTCTCTTATTCCTAGTATCATGAACATTTCTCTAGCACCTTCCACTGTTCATTTCCACAATATGTAATCCTGATGCTTCTATGGGGATAATGATTCTGTTGGCTTCCAGATTTTTAACTTTCATTCTCATTTGGACTGGTTATCCAGTTGTCAGTTTGCACAACAGCTTTATATGTCTGTTACGGTAAACTTGTTTGTTTTTTGCCTTTCTTCCAAGGGTATATGTAGTGTTGGTATATGCTTTGCTGGGATACTGAGATGTTATGTGAAGTAAAATCTTTGTTTGCTCGTTAACATGCGTACCGGCAAACTCATTCCTTCTATTGCTCTGTATTTGTGATCCAAAAGGGGCAAGGAATACATCTTGGTCAGATTTGTTTTCCTGTGTGAGTAGCTCATTTGTGTAGTCTGTTACTCTGAGGTGTGTACACAAACTGGTAGGCCCTAATGGATTCCTGCCGGATCTATTGGCAGTAATCAGACTCTGTGGTATTCCGTGTCTTGCAAATTGTAATTGCATAGATTTTTATGGCCAGAAGGGAACACTGTGGTAATCTATTCTGACCTCATGCATAACGTAGGCCATAGAACCTAACCCAATAATATCTGCATCAAGCCCATAACTTTTATTAAAATTTAGGGCTCATACACACACGGTTGGGTCGGGTGTTTCATTCTTTTTTAAATTAAAATGCCCTGCATACACATGACACAAGTTTCTTCCAAATTAACTGGCCAATTAGTGCAAATTGGATAATCCACTTTGAAAATGGATTAAATTCAATTTGTGTGGATGCATCTATATATCAGATTAATTTTTCAGTCCTCCCACTGCCATCCCATACTACATTGCTTTACACCAGGGCCATAATGTGATACCCTGTGTCCCCTCTACTTCTCTGGGTTGGCTGGATTTCACCACTAGCCAGGAACCACCCCACTTGTGACGATGCACTTCTGGAGCATTACATGAGCATGGAGCCATAGAGAGGGTCAGGGATTTTCTTGTGATCTGGGGAGAGGAGCCAGTTCAGTCCTGCCTTAACAGATACCGTAATGTGAAGATATACTAGTGTATATCAAAGCAAATAACTAAGAGGGGTCACTCTTTGGACTTCTCACTGCTGCAACACTGGGAATAGGCAGCTGCAGAATTATGGAGAACCCCCCCACACACAAAGAACAGAAACAGGACCTCTGGCAGTGCTCCAAGTACTCACCCCTACTTTGAGGATCAGATTTTTTCCAAGAAGGCCACCACACCCTGGTATGTCATGGACAGCACTGAAGGCATCAAAGAGAACACAGTCTCCTACCCTGACCGGATTTCCCGTGGAAGCCAGGATCTTTTCCCCACATGAAAACCTAAGGCAAACCCATAGAAGCAAACAATTCCCAAAACCCAGGTGGACACTCAGCATGATAGTGCTGGGAAGGAGACCTCCCCCAGTAAGTATTCTGTCCTATATTACAATAAAATTGTATGGATAACTTCAAAAATCTTTTGTTCTGGTTGTCCAGTGGGCACCACCAGGAGTTAAGAGCCTTTGCAAACCTTGCCAGCTTCCAGCCCTCCCTCCCCACCATGCTGTGTTCTAAAAATTGGTATCTGTGCCTGGGAATTTAAGATCTGAAGGGGATTATTCCTTGATATTTTCAGTTCCCACAGCTATTTGCTTTACTGGCATCCACCCCCAACACTCCTTTCCTGTGCTCTTCATGTTCCTTTTCCCAACTGGTTGACCACTGGACTCTCTGCCCCTGGTCAAGCTATTGCTCTGCAGTCATTCTATATTTTTTTTTAAAAAGCCCTTGTAATGTAGGCATGTTTATTGAAATGTCAGTTACAGGAAGAAAAATGCAAAAGCCCCCCCTCTCCCCCTAAACTCTTCGCTTCACAATTTGAGCAGTACCCAGAAATTTCAGCTAGCTTAGCATTTTATGAGATATATTTCCCAAAGTGAAATACTAAAAATGAATAGAGTTCATAAGACACTTGGGTAGCTGAAATAACTCTCAGCATTAACTCCTTAAGTTCAAAACAGTTACAGCAGAATGCTATTTATTTTGCTGTACACTTTGTGCAGGTTGGCAGGTGATATAAAACAGAAGTTAAGGCAAAGACAATGCTGTATTTTGGCATGATGTTTCAAGGTAAAGCAGCCTTCTTGGGGCTTCCTGTATAGGTAGGGTTCCCCTTCCAGTCATGCAGCACTTCTGAGGCAGGGCAGGGGACCATTCTGGTGAGTAACATATCTGCCTATCTTTCTGGTCTGCCCATTGCCTTTTTAACAATCTTTGTCTATTTCTTGGTGATTCATATGAGGATAACATCCTCCAATAGAAGGACTGACTGCACAGGTGCATGTGCAATTACTAGCCTTCCCCCTGCAGATTCCCAGTCAACCACCCAACCTATGCAAATCTCAAATGCTACTGTTTGTCCACTCAGCCTGCTAGCCAAACATAAAACACCAGCCCTAATCCCCAAACCGTGCTGCACACCCAGCCAATCTCCACAACAACATAGGAGTAGGGTTACTATTCAAAAGGCAATTAAGATGGCAAATGTCTTACTATATGTAAGTTCTCCCCAGACTAGGAAGAGACTGTGAAAATAGTATTCCAAAACTAAGTCAAAAGCAACAGTTTATCATTGAAGCCTGGAGACTTGAAATACTACGATAAATACTTCTTTGGTTTCTCAGCTTCCCCAGCTCCTGTGCCTGATTGTGCATGGCATCCAAGGACAGGACTGTCACCAATTGCAAAATGCCTAGCAAATCTCCGGGGCACGAAATAAAAAAAGACCAAAACTGAAATGTTTGGGAACTCTTGTCAGCATCCCAGAAGAGGGCTAAGAAAACAGAAGAGTGGAGGGATGTTCTCCTTGCAGAGAGACAGAAGGACTGAGAAGGTGTCATTGCTGAGAGAGAAGACGACACAGAATTGACCAGAGAAACCACTGAGAAAGATAGGGATGGGCAAAAACAGCTTCCGGACCTGATGTAAAAAATTAGTCTTTATGGAGGATGTTTTGGCTCAGCATTGCAACCAAAGACCCTTACCATGTCCTGCAGCCCATGGAGAACAATGTGTACTGGGAGCAGCAGTACCATTTCTAAAGTTCAAAAAGGCACTTTCTTCCCTCCTCCACATCACCCAGGATGTTGAAAACAGTGAATGCTGGGAGCCCTCCTTAACTCCAACACCCACAAACGATGGTTTCTTCCCACACCGTCCTATACCAGAAGGCAAAGGCAACAGGCAGAAATCTCGTACCTACACGTGTGTGACCAGTACAGCACAAACATTTGTACAAACTCAGAACTTCTAGGCATTTGTTACACATCTTCACTGTAATGTTGTATAACATTTGCTTTGTTTTATGTTGTGGTTGGAATCAATGTTTGCAGTTTTGTTCTATAAATGGTGTTAATTTTTACTGCTCAAATAGCGCAAATAATAATTTTCACAAAAGTTCACTAAAGTCTCATAAATCACCAGATATCCCATAAATGATAAACACCCCAAGCATAACACATTTTAAAAACCATATAATCTTCTGTTTGAGTAAAACCGTATACAGAGTTATGAAACCATGCCACAGTGCATAATAAAATTACATTGCAGCACCTCAACTCCTAGCCTCAG